TTAGGGTACAAGGACGCCTACTTCGGGTTTGGAGGGTTTTGAAGTTGAGGGGTTTTGGGGTTTAGGGCTTGCAGGGTCTATAGGGCTTAGGTTTTAGGGGTGTCCAGTCGAGCTGACAAGCGGAAACCGAAAGGAGTCGCATAGCAAGGAAGAGCTGGGTTTAGGGTTTCGGGCATAATTGAGCTGGCATCAGCAAGAGTAGCCAGAGGATTGTAGTACCAATGCTAGGAATCCGGGAACCTCATCGAGGGTGACTCAAAACAAGACGAAGAGCACCCATAGCCATATATTTGTATGCAAACTACTAACTACGCAACCGCAATCACAACAACGACGGGAACTGTAGGAGCAGCAAGGCCACCACCTACCAGGATTTGTCTAAAAGGATGTGCAATGAGGACCCCCTCTAAAAGGTCCTGGGCCGAGTTGAGACAACTACGGTGAGAATCCTTGCTAGGCAGGCAGTAACGCTTGAAACCTGATCGCTTGCTTGTACATGAGGCTGTCAGGTACCTTGATACGGCTGATACGGAATAGAAAACCAAGCTGTAGCTACCTCACTTTCCACCATGCAGCTATGGCTGCTCAGGATTCTCGAAATACCGCTTCGACATTGTAATGCTGCCGAGTCACACAATGCCAGCTGCCAGCACATGGCAGCAGACAGAGATGCGATAACCTGCTTCAGATGCAAGGCATGGAATAATCAAGACCTTGCCTTAATGGTCCAAATGCTCCTGTTTGGGGCTTCGTCGTTGCGTGCGTCTTCGGTACTAGAAACCAAACTTCTTGCCAAGAATAAGGACGACTTGAAACCCTAGAGTGCAAGGAACATGTGAAAGGAAAGCGTGAGTCCCAACGCGAGGCGTGGGCCACAAAGACCTTAAACCCCCAGATCCCAAACCCAAAACCCAATGCCCTGTAGCCCTAAACCCCCTAGGCCCGCGAACCTTAATCCCTAAACCCTAAGCCCTGTAGTCTATAGCAATCTCGTCACACAGAACAGCGAGTCGAGCGACACTTCTCCTCTAGGGCCCTTAAGCAGAGCACCAGCGACAGTGTAGCGGCTTGAGTCCAAAGAGAACCCCAAACCCCTTAAATCAGGAAAAGCAGATTCTAAACACCCTAAACCCTAAACCACAAAGGGATCCCGACCATGGATTGAAGTTCACCAGAGTAGGAGCTAGGACCCTTTATGCTCTCGACTTGTTACATGGTTGTTTTCTCGAGATTTGGGCAAGAACGAAGGAAAGCCAGAAAACCTGCATTCGTCCCCAGAGTTTGCGGGAACCAGAATGTAATTTTGTAGGGTTCATACTACCCCTAGAGAAGTTGAAGAAACCCTAAACCCTAAACCCAAGAGAACTCGAAGCTTGCTTACTCGACTGCTAAGCATCTCCGCCAGGTCACTGCATTTGAAGTGATTCGATTGCCTCGGAGTCCTGACATTTAGGGTTTAGGGTTTAGATCCTGACACGCAGGCAAGAACTTGGAACACCGAGGCAACATTTAAAACTTGCTGTTTAGGTACTTTGGGGGGGGGGTCTAGGTCTTTAGGGTTTTGGAGCCATGCCAGGATGTGAAGGCTGGGCGATTGTCAGAGATCTGAGGTTGAATCAATGATAAAAACTGTACTCTAAAAATAACACCATCAATGTCATTACGAGTAGTAGTCGTTTTTGGTGTTAAGGTGGTGATGGTTATCATTGTTACTCATGATGGTTATTCATCACCCATGAGTAACTCTTATCATGATAACTCTGAGTAATGTGATTAGTTATGTTATTATTAATATATTGATAAAACATACTAACATGAAATATTATCTGAACTATTACTTCTTACTTTGTTGTGAATATTTTTGAACATTGCTATTATTTTCGCTGCTATATATAATATAGGGTTATATCACCAAAACAGCATTCATTATTATCATTGCTGTGATTTGTTTTGTCGTTGCTGCCGTCGTTGTGGTTGCTGTTGTTATTCTTCTTGTTATTATCATTGTTACTGTTGCCTTTACTGTTGTTGGTGTTATTGCTGCTGCTGCTTCTGCCATTGTCGTCGTCGTTATTGCTGTTATTGATGAAGTTGTTGTTGCTGTTGTTAGTATTGTTAATGTTCTTATTATTCCCTATGTAATTATTGTTTTTCTTACTGTTCTTGTCAAGTCGTATTGTTCTCATTATTCTCATCTTTCTTGATTGCCTAGTATCTCGGCTATTTACGATTATTGTTACTAGTGTTGATATTGTAAAAATAACTTACTCATTCCATAACTACTTAGTTGCAATTTGGATAATTAACCATGCGCGAACTAATTCATTAGTTCATATTTGACTGACTGACTCACTGACTGACTGACTGACTGACTACCTGACTAGCTAATGAACTGACTAATCAAATAATGAAGTGTGTATATATATATATATACATATATATATATATATATTACTTAGATCTAGTATCTTGTAGTATATCATGGCTGGGCCTTCTTCCTGTCTATGGCTCGACATGGGGATTCGGGCATGCAGGGTTCCTCTCAAGCTATGCTACCGTTGTCTTCTATGGACTAGAAGGTGGTCAAGAAAAGTAGGTGTTCCGGGCATTGCCACAGAAACCCACACCCCAAGAAAGCAACACAGATGCACTTGAACAAGTGCCCAAGCAACGTACAGCAACCCTAAATCTTACAACACTGCTCTGAAGACTCCAGCTGTAAAGACCCGACAAGTTCTGGGGCTGCAGCACCCTAAAGATCTCAAGCCGGCAGCCAGTCAAAACGCCAAGCTGCACAAGCTCCCAGCAAGCATGATTCTAGAACAAGCAACCAGGCAGGAGTTTCTGAAACAAAAACTGCCTCAAGCACTGGGATCATTCGGACAAGGCCGCTCATACTCCGAATTGTCAGGAATGCCCAGCTGCTATGCTCTTGTGTAGGGGTGCCGGGTTTAGGGCAGAGCCAAGCGGGGCTTCGGGTTTAGGGGTTTAGGGGTTTAGGGGTTTAGGTTTGTGAATGACACCATCTGAAACACCGTAGAACACAAAGCTCTAAACCCAAACACCCTCCTCGATTCAATCAGCTGCCTACTTACAACCTGCTTGCTAGATCCCCTGGACCAGACCAACACTCACAGCTCAAACATAACGAAAAAGCCCTGAACCGTGAATCTCAAACCCAAGACCCTAAACCCTAAGAACTGAACTAAGCCGCCCCCCAAAAAAGGTAGAACTTGACCCTAAACCCTAAACCCCCCTAAACCCTATGAACTAAGCAAGCCCCCAAAAAGGTAGACCCTAAACCCTAAACTCTAAACCCTATGAACTGAACTAAGCCGCCCCCCCAAAACCCTAAACCCTAAACCCTAAAACGAGCTTACAAAAAGGCAGTAGTAGGACTCTGCAGTCCGGCCTCGACCCCGAAGATCCCTCGCAAGTTCCGCGGCGGCTTGCCATGGTCCACTCCTTCTTCGAGGTTCTTAGGGAGGGTTTAGGGTTTAGGGTTTAGGTGTTGAGGGTTAAGGGTTTTAGGGGGTTAGGGGGTTAGAGGTTTAGGGGTTTCGGGTTTAGGGTTTAGGGTTTAAGTGTTGAGGGTTTAGGGGTTTAAGGGTTTAGGGTTTAGGTGTTGAGGGTTTAGGGGTTTAGGGGTTTAGGGGTTTAGGGTTTAGGGTTTATATAGGTACTGAGGGTTTAGGGGTTTAGGGTTTAGGGTTTAGGGTTTAGGTGTTGAGGGTTTAGGGGTTTAGGGGTTGAGGGTTTAGGTGTTGAGGGTTTAGGGTTTAGGTGTTTAGGGTTTAGGGTTCAGGGATAGCTACAAGTGCCCGACTTATAAGGCCACTCATATCTGCCTGTGAACCTCCAAGTTGGCTTCGTTGAACATCGTGCCGGGCTTTCGGGCTGAGGGTTGAGGGTTAAGGGGCGTCGGTATATGTAGGGGTCCTAATAAGTAGAATAGGGTTTTGGGGTATATTATGTTATAGTTAGAATACGGAACCCCCAAAATAGTATAGGTAATTATTTAGGCTTCTATATTAAAGGCCATAGTTCTTGGGGCTTTGGGGCTGAGGGTTAAGGGGCGTCGGTAATGTAGGGGTCTTCATAAGTAGAATAGGGCTTTGGGGTATATTATACTATACTTATAATAAGGAACGCCCAAACTAGTATAGGTAATCATTTAGGCTTCTATATTATAGGCCATAGTTCTTGGGGCTTTGGGGGTTTCGGGTTTAGCGCTTTACTGAAAGTCTCAGGGGTTCATGTCTGCAATGTCTGTCTAAACCTCAACCCTGTAACCTAAACTCCAAACCCAAAACCTCTCATAGGGTGCTGTTTAGGTCTTAGGGCTTGGGTGTGTAGGGACTTTGTTTTTACAGTTTAGGTGTGGGCTTCAGGGTCTAAACCGTAAGCCCTAACCCTAAACTTCCCAAACCCTGATTCCTCAATAATTACCCATAAAATGTAATGTGATATACAATATATGATATATAACATATAGTATATAGTACATAACATAAAATATACAATAAGATCATTCCCTTTAGGACCCAATTCTAAACACGAGCAGGTGCCCCCAATATAGGGGCCTTGATAATAAGAATAGGATGTTGGGGGTATATTGTACTATAATTTTAATCAGGAGCCCCCAAATTCATGTAGGCAATTATCAAGGCCCTGATAGTGGCTTCAAAACTAAACCCCTAGATCCTAAACCCCTTCACGATATACAGGCCTTCATACGTAGAACAAGGTTGCTTAGATTTTGTCTACCTTTACAATAATAATGGAAACACTAGTAGTAATTGCCCTGACCCTGTTTTACATAAAGTAACCCTACTTGCTAAAGTTCCCAGTAATTAGCATAGATGCCTGACTGCTTACCATCATAATTCCGAAGAGTTCCTTACTTATTGTTGTTATACTATAAAGGGGCCCAGAAAAACCTTATTCTGATTGTTAGAAAAGCCCCTGCGCCTATGTCGGATCTAGCGCTGCAAGGGGGCTGACAGCTGCCGATCACGGAGTTGAAGGAGATCCGATCCACTTGTAACGAACCTGCCCAGGTTCAGGGTTTAGGGTTCAGGGTTCAGGGTTTAGGGTTTAGGGTTCAGGGTTCAGGGTTCAGGGTTCAGGGTTTAGGGTTTAGGGTTTAGGGTTTAGGGTTAGGTCAATGCGCTTGTATAGCAGGAATTAGGATTACAGTGGGGGACCCTTGAAGATATAGACCCTCTCAATAAGGTCCCCTTTCTTAGAGAGCCAGAAGCAGGGTTAAGAAGGGTCCCCTTTAAGGGGTCTCCCCAATACTACCTACGTAGGATGTAGTGTACTATATTGTCATGTGGCAAAGTATCGAGTACAGTACGGACTAAATTCATGGTCCAGGGTGGAGGTTTTTGGGATTAAGGTCCAGCATCTTGATTTGGAATAGGTTGCATGGTTTAGGGTTTACGGTTTGTCAATGAGCCCTTAGTTTGTCGGGATACGTATTTATACTCCTCCTGTATTAATCTGGGCTCTTCAGAAGAAAACTGGCAGCGCTTGGCTAGTGCGGGTTTAGCCGCAATGGGCCCAAAATTCCCAAACCCCTTAGTTAAAGAATGTACCTTCAAGTACGAAGAGATGAGTGATATTATGATTATCTAAGGCATATTCCTGAATTCAGAGTTTTCAAAGCAACCTGCAGAAATACAAACCTGTACAGGGCTGGACTCAAAGAAGATCGGCAACAGGCTACCTTGTTCAAATCGATCCTACACCCCTTTTGATTAAAGGCAACTACAGGTGAGGAGTTTAGGGTATATAGGGCTTCTATAAAGCTTCTATAAGGTATATAGACCTTCTATAAGGCTCCTATAACGGTAGCTGCCCACCTGAAAATGTCCTAGATTTGAACCCTACCAAATAGACCCGGATACAGCCCTAGTAAACTTCCAAAAGATGCCATCAAGGACCTTTGTAGAACCCTTTGTGCCCCGAATCCCAGCCACACCCAAAACCCCGCAAAAGCTATAAACCCACCTTAATCCATCTCAGCCCTAAACCCTAAACCCTAAGCCCTAAACCCCAAACCCTAGACTCTAAACTCCAAACCCCAAGCCCTAAACCCCAAACCCTAAACTCTAAACCCTAAACCCTAAGCCCTAAACTCTAAACCTTGCCCTCGGCCAGTCCTTCGCCAGCCCAGCGGAGCGCCCCGAGGCCCAAAGCCCAGCGAGAGCAAGCCAAGGCCTCATTTAGACCAGGAGGGTTTAGGGTTTGTGGTTTAGGAGGGCTCCAAGCTTTGAGAGTTTAGGTTCAGAGTTTAGGGTGAACGGGTCTTAGGGTGTTAGGGTTCAGGGTTCTAGGGTTTAGGGTTTGGGGGCTCAAAGATTCGGACCTTTTGGGTTTTGTGGGCTAGGATCAATCTTCAGGTTGCTATGAAGGCTCGTTACAGAGGTCCTATGACTTGGTCAAGGATGTCTAGACTGTCAGGGCTTGTCACCACCCGAACAACCTGTTCTTGACAAAACACGAGAGACTTTCAGAAAGCAGGTTTGCGTGGGTTATGGGGGGATCTCAGTAAGTTCGGCCTGAGGAGGACAGGTGTGCGGGCTCTAAGAGTCCTGCACCGGGTCCTACACCCTTCAGAGCTTATGTTTCACCGAAGTTCGGCAGGCGGCGGTGTTGAGCACAATCACGTTGACGTCCAAGGCCTGCTAGGGGTAATGAGCAGGACCAGGAATATATAGGCCTAAAAGATTAGAATGGGATTTCGGGGCCCATTATACTATAATGACAATAAGGAACCCCCCCAAAATAGTATTGGTACAAATTTAGACCCGCCCCTACATTAGCCACAGCATGCTTTAAGCAGTCTTTAGCGACTCTGTCCCTCATGGCCACGGCGGTGTGGAACGGCCTAAACCCCTGAACCCTCAACGACTACGCCCTTAATATAGGGGCCTCAATAACTAGAAGAGGGTTTTGGGTCCCTTAATACTATAATAATGATAAGAATAATAATAAGGAGCCCTAAGGCCCTAAGGAATATATTGGTAATTAATTAGGCTTCTACATTAAACCTCAGTTACTACAAGCCCGAAGACAAGATCCTGAACTCTTACAGTTTCAAATCTACAGCCTCCGGCTACCTTGTGGCTTACGTACCAGGCCAACTTTCCGTGCAGCAGCTCCCAAGCATGGTATCTGTGTCTTGCTGCTCACGGAATTTTCCGGGTTTAGGGTTTAAGGTGTAGGATCCGAAGTGGAGTGCGAGCACCTGAAGCATCTATCTCAGTAATTACCCACAAGCACCTACAAACTCCCAAATATCTCAACTCTGCAACTTCTGAGGAAGTCGCCCTTCTCACAGTTGAGGAGGAGAGCATCAAACCCTAAACCCTAAACCCTAAGGGATCTTGGAGTCTCTGGGGCCCGGAAACCCCCTAGGCTTGAAGAACCCGGGACCCTCGATCTTCCCAAGTCCCCCATAACCCGGATAGAACCCTCCCAAACGGGCTTAGGGTTTAGGGTTTAGGCCCCAAACTCTATAAACCTTAGCTAAACCCTTAACGAACCAAAACTCTAAACCCTACCTGCATCCCCAAACACTACAAAATAGTATGTTATGACCCCTGAATTAGAGGGCTTAAACCCTTAAAACGGTAGGGTTTTGGATCCCCAGGTAAATCCAGAATCCTAAACCCTAAACCCTAAACCCAAAACCCTCACCTCAAGCTTCCCAGCGCCTCCTCACGCAAGGCAGCGCAGCCACGGAGAGACGACTCCCAGGAGCCGACGGGGCGGCGGGCATCCAGCTGGAAAATTTGGCTTGTGGTGTAGGGTTGAGTGAATTCAGGGTTTAGGGTTTAGGGTGTAGGGTTGAGTGAATTTGGGTTTAGGGTTTAGGGTTTAGGGTTTAGGGTTTAGGGTGTAGGGTTGAGTGCATTCAGTTTGTTTTTTCTCTAGGGTTTTGGGTTTACGTTTTGATTAGGGTTCACGGGGAGTTAAGAGCAGTGATAAAAGGGGCTCCCAACTTTCAGGTTCCCAGAGACTCCCAAACTCCATAATTAAGGAATATGCCTTTAATCTTTTTGGAGTTTCTGTCATAATTTAAAGTACATTCCTTAATTAAGGGATTTTGGAGTTTCTGGGTTTTTAGTTAAGATGCTGCGATCTTAGAGGCTTGCTGTATGGGGGCTACAGCGGCGTCCAGCGGTAAGGCTTAGGCTGCAGATGCTGTGCCTGGCTTGCGGGCTTCTGCGTCATCAGGTTTGAGGCCCGAGGCTTGGCTTTGCGTTTCGGGTCTGCTTCAGGTTGCCAACGAAACATCAAACCGCAAGGCAAGCCCAAACTTCCAAAACCTAAATTACCTAAATGCAAAACACTTACATTGCTGGGTTCCACAGCAGATGTGCTTTGTACCTTAGGCTTAGCACCTGCAGGTTTACGACGACTACTGCACCTGCTCCTGCTCCTGCTCCTGCTCCTGCTCCTGCTCCTGCTCCTGCTCCTGCCCCTACGACTTCGACTATGACTACGTCTACAAACATTACGCATCTGAGCACCACCAGCCGAAGCACCTGCACAGAGCTTCGCCGCACGCTCTCCAGCACGCTGACAGCAAGCCGCCAAGTTCTCAGCCAAGCATTTCGGTGAGGGAACGGTAGGCGTGTGAGGCTGTGCTATGTTGGGGGGTTTGTTTCATGGTATGAGGAACTTTCCTAATCAGGACATGGCACCAACATGCACCAACGAGCCCTAAGGTCGTGCAAAGGCTGTGGGAATGCCACACCTGTCTGGTGGTCAGCAAACAGGCACGCCCATGGACCAAACCCTAAACCCAAAACCTGAAGCCTAAACCCTAAACCCTAAGCCCAAGAATGTTTCCATGGACCAACGAACAAACCCTCCGTGGCATCCTCTGTTCATTCCTACCCTTCAGGGTCCAAGTAGTCCGTATTTATGGTTTTAGATACCCAAAAAGCCCCAAAGTCCTTAAATAAGGGTACTTGGACCCATAGGGTACCCTATACCGGCAACTTTGAACTTTCGAGGGGCACGGGCAGTTCAAAGTGAGATAGTTATAGATATAACTTATAACCTATCATCAGATAGTTATAACTATCATAGCCACACTTATAGCTACCCATGAACCTCCGAGTAGCCAAAACAGAACCCCGCAGTGTTGCCAGACTCTTTGGTGAATGATACTCCAACTTGCGCAAAGCCCCGACAAGGGTTTACCTGTATCCCCAAACACTACAAAATAGTAGGTTGTGACCCCTTAATTAGAGGGTCTAACCCCTAAAACGGTAGGTTTTTGGATCCCCAGGTAGGCTTTAGGGCTGAGGGCATCCCTAAACCCTAAACCCTAAACCCTAAACCGTGCTAGAGGCTGTCCCTGCTCACAGGCGGTGCTGGCTGCAGAAGCGAGGATGATATTGCCTGCCACTTCAGGGTGTTGGGAACTATAGGTTTAGAGGTTTAGGCTTTAGGGGTTTAGGGGTTTAGGGGTTTAGGGTTTAGGGTCCGGGGGTTTAGGGTTTAGGGTTTAGGGTATATAGTGAATCCCAGAAAGTTGGAACATGGATTTAGGATGATTAGCGCCGGGATCCCCTTTGCTTTACCTTAAGGGCATTGGGGATAATGATGTTCCAACTTTTTGGCTTCTACTTTAGGGGTTTTAGGCTTTGGGTTCGGAGGATAGGGTGAAAACCCTAAACCCTAAACCCTGAAGTAGGGAGAGCCAGGGAGTTGAGGTCTGAAGGTGTTCGCGCCTTAGCTTGCAGGTTTCAGAACCACTGCCCAGACCTCCGGGCAGACACAGAACGGCTGTGGCATCTCCGGAAATACCCCATCCCTGTACCAAGGGTATTGATGAAGTGCCCTGGGCCCCCTTTCCTTCGCAAGGGTTTATAGTGCTTAGGTTAAAACCAGGATGTAACGAAGCTTTAAATTTGGGGCTCCAAGATTGAAAGACCCCTCCCTGCAGGAGTTTCGGGGTTACGATTGGAGGAGTAGGGTTTGTGGGTTTAGGGTTTAGGGTTTAGGGTTTTGCAGTTCATACTACTGGCAAGAGTTATATTATTTATGATGCATTGGCAATTTTACGTCCATCTTCCACGGTCGACGTGCACTTGTGCGCCAACCCGACCATACATCCCCCAAACCCTGAACCCTAAACCCTGAACCGCGACACCCGACATGCTGAAATCCGGATGCCTTCCACCTCTGCGGAGGAAAGGTGCCCAAGAAGGAGCAGCGCTGACTCCCAACGCAAGCGCATGGCCTGGGGGGTGCTTTGAGGCACGCGGGTGTTGTAGACCTTGAGGTTTCGGGCCTGGGGCAATTAATCATTAATCGGAATAGAATGTTTCTTTCCTAGTGGAAGAGGAGGGGGGGTGGTATTCCAGTATGTATCTTTGAAGGAACCCTGAGAGCAACAATCTGGCACATCATGGGGCTGAAACAAGCCCTCCCCGGATCGCTCTTGCCCAACCTGGAGTTCAACCGCCAACTTGGGCTTGCTTCGAATGACCCTCGCTCACTGCCGGGCTCAGCATCACAAGCTTTTAGTGCAACAACTTTCGGAAAATCGGACAGCGAATTTCGAACTGTCGTAACTCCGAAGCCTGAACATGCTTAAACTCTAAACCTGAAGAGAGCGTTCAGGAGTTGATGGCTTCCTCTAAACATTTCTTACAAAGTCGCAACTCAACCCCAAACCCGACCCGAAGCCCTGAAACCTCCAAGCCCTAAACTTCCAAATAAGCCACCCACTCCCCCTCTCAAACATCGTTTCCGAGGCTCGCCCATGGCGGCGCCATAACTTCGCACGTTCCTCGGAGGGTTGAGATGGTTGAGGGTATTTAGGCTGTGGATTTCGGGTTTAGGTTTAGGCTATCTTTTAGTTTAGGGGTTTAGGCTTTAGGGGTTGATGCTTACGGGCTTCGATTCTCGGATATACATAGGGTCTTGCGTTTTAGGGCTTGGGATTCAAGCTAATTTGGGTATCTGATCGTCTCTCTTCCGAATATGATTAAAAGAAACCGTGAAGCCCCGTCCACATCTAGTGCGGAACCACCGCAGAAAGCCGGACGAAACGAAACCCAACTTATGCTAGCCGTGCATCGGCTGGAGGCGGCTCTTCCGCAATCCTTGGAAGAGGTCCAGTGCACGACTCCACCGCTGTCGCCTGCTCCAGTCGCGTCCATCGAAAAACTCGAGAAGCGTCACAACAACAGCGCATGGCAGTGAGCATGATAGCTAAAAGCAAAAGCTGCACACAAGCTTAAAGTTAGGAGCAGATATTATGTCTACATGGTCATCACGTTGGTAACGTTCATGCTTACTATTCGAATACAAGCGGCCGACGAAGAGATGGAAAAACAACGAGCGATAGAACTCTGTTTCGAAGCGCCATGTCCGTATGTCGCCTGTAACCCCACACCACGACACTCTAAGTCTTGAATACAAACCTGGAAGATCGTTCGATGGCCTGCCGGCGGCGGAAATGGCAGCGTTGCGTTGCTTGAGCACGTCGCCGGTCTCGCTTGCAGCAGCGGCATGCCTGTAAGCAGTCGAGCGGCCAACCTGACTGAAGCCACCTCAATCAGCATTGCTGTTGTTACGGACATTGGTACAACTGCTTGAACTGACAGCTACCAACTACAGCCACCAAACCTCTACACTCACGGTCAGAACTATTACGAGCATTACTACTATACTACTACTACTACTACTACTACTACTACTACTACTACTATTACTACTACTACTACTACTACTACTACTACTACTACTATAATCATGACTACCAGTACTACTATTATTATTATTACTATTATGTTATATCCTGTGGGAAGACAGGGCCATCGTCGTGAGAAGGCGCACACTCAGCTGAATCTAGCGCAACCTGAGGATAGGAAGAAAGCAGAGCATTGCTTCGGGTACGATGTGTGTAGTTTTCGGAATTAGGGTCTATTTTTAGATCCCCAATATGGTACGGCACCCTTATAAAAAGGACCCCAAGAGGGACCCTATGTTGGAGAACTACCCATGTGGATTATAACTACACTACGCAGGAAAGCTCTTACTATAGCTCTTGAAGAAGAACAGCCGTCGCATGATAATGCCGCCGCTGAACCCCAAACTCTGAACCCGAAGCCCTAAACCTATACCTACCCAAACTTGTCATTCGCGCCATGGATCTTCTGGAAAACCGAGCCCCAACGATGCCTTTCCATGGATGCTGCCGGCAAACCCGGCCTTGCCAAAGCCACTCCGAGAGGTGGTGGGTTTCAAATCGGGGCCTTTGACAGTCGTTTCGGTCCTGTGAAGGGTTCCTTTCAGAATGTCTATGTACTTGTCGCTTTGCAAGAGCTTTCGGGATCGGACTTTGTTTTATTGTTACAGGTCGCGAGTCTCTAGAGAGAACCACGGAAGAATCAACACACCTCTCTCGCTCTCTCTCTCTCTCTGTCTCTTTCTCTCTCTTATATGTATGTAGATGTGCACGCATGTCTGTATGTATATACATGTATATATCTGTATATGTATATGTACATAATACGTACGTAAATATACATACGTACATATACACATACATATATACACAAGCTTACAAGGCATCTGGTAGAGTCAAAGTTGACGCTGTCATACACGCTTTGCTGCTTGCAAACATATATATATATATATGTATATATCTCTCTCTCTCTCTCCTTGCTTTGCCTATCAATTCCTGTACACGTACATAGGTGTCCGTGTCCTCACAACTTGGTTCATAGATCCAGCTAGAGAAGATCTTGTCTTTGCAGTGTTGTCCTTTCGCTAGATGTCCACCAAAGAACGGTTATCCATATGTGTTTACTTAGTCAGACTTAGCCCCTCGCGTATTCACGGGTCATCAAACTCCTGACTTTACCGCTTCCTGAGAGCTTCAGGGTCTTTGGCTTAGGGCTTATATAGGTCCTGAGATACAGCCGGGTTTCTTCATGACGAGGGTTTAGGGGCTTCTAAATCAACCCTGAAGAAGCCCGGAGGCCAACACCCTCCAAACCCTAAACCCTCGAAAAAGAAAACTGAAAACCCTGAATCACTACACCTATGCAAACCATGAGCACTGAATCCCTGAACCCCTAAACCCTAAACCCTAAACTCTGAACCCCATAAGACCCAAACCCCTTATGCCTCCATATCTCCTTCTGCCACAGCCGCCCCTCTCAGCGAAGGCCTGGGTTTTTGACAGAAGTTGGGGGCTCGCAGAGCTTCCTACAGAAGCCAGTCTACAGTCGGGTCTAGGGTTAGGGTTTGGGGCTAGGGTTTAAGGCTTTATTGTTTAGGGCTTGGGTTTAGTATTCAGGTTTTGGGTTTAAAGCTGGCTTAGAGTTCGGGATCACAGAAAATAGCATAAAGAGGGCATCACTAGGGACTTACCCTAAACCCTAAACCCTAAACCCTAAACCCTAAACCCTAAACCGTCGAGGTCACATTATCGATCGGCTTAGCGTTCCTTTGAGGGTCTAGGGCTTTGGGTTTAGGGTTTAGGGTTTAGGGTTTAGGGCTGAGGGTTTAGGGCTTTGGGTTCCTCTCATAACCGACTGACCAAGTCGGGATCAGGAGAGGTGTTGGTTGGGATCTTGGGCTCCCGGGTGTAGTGTTTTGTGTTAGGGTTTAGGGTTTAGGGTTTAGGGTTTAGGGTTTAGGGTTTAGGGTTTAGGGTTTAGGGTTCAGAAGCTTACCGTGTATCCCCAAACACTACAAAAAAGCAGGTTATGACCCCTTAACTGTAACTAGAGGGTCTAACCCGTAAAACTGCAGGTTTTGGGATCCCCAGGAAGGCTTGCGGGGGGTGCAGAGTCGAAAGGGGCGTTTTGACGAATTCTTTCGCGGGTTGCGAATAAAGAAGGAGTTTTAGCCACTTTACAAGTGGAGCGTAATGCACCAAAGCCTGTTTCTAATCGTCATGGCCCCGTAGTGGGTATTCTTGGGTTCAAGATCGGACACGGAAACCACAGGTCTTTCCTGCGCAGTCAGCTAAGGCAGTTGCAGAACCTTCTTTGGACATTCCCCAAACCCGTGTGTCACCACACTCTTTCATACCTAAATCACAGCACAAAACATAACATGACAAGCTCCAAGCCCAAACCCTAAATCAAATCAAGCCCCAAAGCCCTACAAAGCCTTTTTCCAGCTTCTCAAACAACACACCATGAGTTTAAGAATACCCTAAACCCCCGAAACACCAGACAATGAGTTTGAAAATGCCCAAAGCCCGAAATTCCCGAAATCACTGCAGCCAGGGGGGCCCAGCGCGGGGAGGCGGCAAAGCGCGGATGCAGCAATCGCAGCAGGGGGGCATGGAATGAAACTACCCAGACCCCAGAGGTATGTAAAATATTAGCCTTTTATAGGTCTTGAGCCAATATTCTTATCTGCTTTTGGGGGGTAAGCATATGATATTTACGCCTTACTGAACCCTTGAACCCTTAAGGCTTATAGAGCTAATAGGGTAGTGATAGCAGGCTTTGGGTCGGGCCAGGTATCGCAGGGCTTAGTCTTAGGCCGGTCCTGTTTCGGATCACTCTAAATAAATAAATAAATATAAATAAATAAATATATATATATATATATATTACAAATAACACACACACACACATATATATATATATATTTATATATATATATATATATATATATATATATATGATGTCTACATATATTCGACAGACAAGCTAGGGCCGAACTTTCAACGTTCAGAGCACGGCTTGGAGAGTATGTGGTGCCATCAGCAGCTACGTCTTTGAAGCAGGAGTGGCAATGCCAATGGTGCAACTCCAACGATAGATGCAAACACTTCAGTGCGGCAAGGGCTTCGGCTGTGGTTCCGGTGGGTTTAGGGTTTAGGATAGGGTTTAGGGTTTAGGGTTTAGAGTTTAGGGGTTTTGGTTTAGGGTAGTTTAGTTTGGTGCAGATATGAACTTGGATTGTACCTTGCACTGAGAGCTTAGGGTGCAAAGGACCGCTCATTCGCGGCCACCATGTGTGAGGACACAAGTTCTGTTGTGTGGTTCAGGGCGGTTCCCATGGTAGTGTGACGAAAATGCAAGGAGACCGGGTCAAGCCAAAATGAGGGCCTTCATAACTATAAAAGCTCTGGGGGGGGGTATATGATAGTAGAGGGTTTAGGGTTTAGGGTTCAGGGGAGGTGTATCAAGGGACCCGGAGGCTCTGAAGAATAACATTCGAAATCATCCCGGGCCGCCACATTCCTAAACCCTAAACTGCAGGTGCCCAGGGTCCCCCCTGCACCCCGGACGAGCAGTGAAACAGCACCGCCGTTTTACGCGAAATCGACGGTGAGCCATCGATCTTTGCCTGGCTCAGGGTGGAGGGTTTAGGGGTTGAGGGTTTAGGGTTTAGGGTTTAGGGTTTAGGGTTCGGAAGTCTAGAAACCATCTGGGACGATAGGACTTGTAGCTTAAGTGCCCTAGTTCTTCGACTCGAATGTGTTGCTGAGCCTAAACTCCAGACCCTGAAAACCCTAAATACGGTTTAGGGTTTAGAGTTTAGGGTTTAGGGCTAAACTCCTCAAGTTCGGAACCTGCAGCTGCAAACTAGAAGCCTTGCTAGTGACACTTTGCTCACAGCAGCAATTCAGTTGAGGCAGTCTGGAGGTGTAGGGCCTGAACTTGTCCCTACAACGGGAAGGACCCCTGCAACAGCTACAAAAGCAAAGCTACTTGCAAAGCCAGGTAAACTGCCCAAACCCTAAACCCTGGGACCTGCCTTCTGCCCGCCCATCATCCTAGAAGTTGAGTAAACCCTGAGCCCCCGTGTAAAATTCCTCTGCAATCCTAATCAACCCCAATCATCAGGAATTCGACTAGCAACCTTGGGGTTGAAATTTTGGTGTTAAGCCCTAAACCCCAAAGAGGCTTGAGGGTTTAGGGTCTAGGGTTTAGGTTTTAGGGTTTAGGGTGTAGATCTAAGCCTGAACCCTGCATTATAAGCTATAGATGAAAGTCATGATCAACCCTGTAATCAACACCCTACGGAACCCATCAACACACTCTAAGGCACCGTTTTCCTACCAAGTTCAGTTTTCATAAAGAACATCACAATACTTAAACCCTAACCCTAAACTAAACCCTAGACCGTAAACCCTAAACCCTGAACCCTATTGAACCCTAAACCCTACCCTAGACCCTAAACCCTAAACCCTAAACCCTAGCCTAAACCCTAAGCCCTACCCTAAACCCTAAAGCCTCGAAGGACCTCCGATTCCTGGCCGGGCCGCTTAGCTCAAATCGGGGAGTCGCCGCTCGTCCGGTGCCATGTGCCGCCGGGGAACCGGGAGGTCCTGGGTATAGGGTTTAAGGATTAGGGTTTAGGGTTTAGGGTTTAGGGTTTAGGGTTTAGGGTTTAGGGTTTTGGTTTAGGGTTTAGGGTTTAGGGTTTAAGGTTTAGGGTATAGGGGTTTAAGGATTAGGGTTTAAGGATAAGGTTTAGGGTTTAGGGTTTAAGGATTGGGGTTTGGGGTTTAGGGGTTTAGGGTTTAGGGTATAGGGTTTAAGGCTTCGGGCTTGGGGTTTAGGGGTTTAGGGTTTAGGGTTTAAAGTTTGGGGTTTAGGGTTCAGGGGTTTAGGGCTTAAGGTTTAGGGTTTAAGGGTTTAGGATGGTTTAGGGTTGAGGGGCTTACAGTTTAGGGGTTTAGGGTTCAAGGTTTAGGCGTTCAGGTGTTTAGCGGTTTACAGTTTAGGGGTTTAGGGTTACGGGTTTTGGGGTTTTGGGGTTTACAGGGGTTTAGGGCTGAGGGGTGCTACTGTTGGCCGTTACAGCCTGAAGAGTCTTGCGGAAGAATTTTCATAGCGTTTTTAGAGATTTGTATCTCAGCATTGGGTGTTGGCTTGTCGGGTTTAGGGTTTAGGGTCCAGACGGCTCTCAGGCTCTACCCCAAGTTAGTACCCTAAAGCAGACGAAGGGGTACTTCATAAGCCTAAACCTAAACCATGTACCGAATCTACTTTCGCCGCACCGACTCGTGCAGGATCCTTAGGCCCTAGGCTTCGAGCCCTACGCCCTGAAATCCCAAACTTTCGAAACTCCCAAAACCCTAAACCCTAAACCTTCAACCAAAAACCCTAAACCCTAAACCTTAAACCCTAAACCCTAAACCTCAAACCCTAAACCCTAAACCTAAACCTTAAACCCTAAACCCTAAACCTTAAACCCTAAACCTTTCACC